TATATATATATATATATATATATATATATATATAGAGAGAGAGAGAGAGAGAGAGAGAGAGAGAGAGAGAGAATGACTATAAAATTAGCCTTTAAAGAGAATAGCTGCATGTATAACAACATCCCCATAGCTTTATGAATCTCTCTCATGGTGTGATATATGGGCCATTTGGGGATTATTCTCTTGGCAGTGAAGAACTTCAGAGGGTTGAGTCAGGCTTTTCCGAGCAGTGCTGGGTATTGGGGTTGGGACATTAACAAACCCTGAGACACTATCTAAAAATATACTCCTTTAAATGGGGTTCCTAGGCAGATAACAGGGGAGCCCTTGTGAGTTGCAACCAGGCCCAGGCGCGTTCTGGAACTAGGCCTAGGTGAGTTCTGGAACCAGGCCTAGGTGAGTTCTGGAACCAGGCCTGTCGGCTAGTGACCTAACATCTCTGCAGCCTGCCCTGTTCTAACAGGTACTGAGTGTTTGGGGGGCTGAGCTCTCTTCCTGGGCAGAGGAGCGTGTTCCTGACGCAATTGCAGAAGAGAGTGTGGGCAGAGCATGGACTGTAGTTTCTGTGTCTTGTGGAGTTACTGTCCCTTGACAAACCCTCCTACATGCCTTGTACCAGCTTTAGGCACCAAGTTCCCACCTGCTGACACCTTGTTCCTTTCCCCCTGGGTGTTCAAGTCTTTTCACAGAGAGTGTGATTTCCCAAACAACCCTCAAAGTTGGATGGAGCAGGCCTTATCACACACACCCTACCTTGAAAAGGGAAGAAACGGAGGACAAGGGAGTTCAGTAGGCTGCTTGGAGTCACAGTCACTTAGTGGAGAGGCTCTGACTAGAACCCAGGACTCTCAACACCAGCTCAGAGATGGGACTTTGGAGAATGAAGGGGAAGCCTTCGATTCTGTCCACAGTGAGTCTTCTGACAGGGAGTATTCTCGGGTCTCTGAGTTAGTATCGGCAGTGACTCCCCTTAGCATAATCCACGATTGCATGTATGAGCACCTGGGTCCGATCCCCAGCATCTCCACTCTAGCCAGGTGTGGTGGCATACACCTCTAAATCCCAGCAGACAGGCGGATCTCTGTGAGTTGGAGGCCAGCCTGGTCTACAGAACAAGTTCCAGGACAGCCAGAGCTGTTACACAGAGAAACCTTGTCTCAAAAAAAAAAAAAAAAAAATCAAAGAAAAAAATTTCATTTACATTGTTTCCCGTCCCCTTCTTCTCCCTGTAACTCTTCCCTTTCCCTTTCTCCTCCCCGGAGCTCCCTCTCAGATTTATGGCTTACACACACACACCCACACACCCACGCACGCACGCACGCACGCACGCACGCACGCACGTGTGCACACATACTGCTCATCAACATATTGACCACAGTTTGCATAAAGCCAGAAGACATGAAGAGGCCGTTAACCTCCTCTACAACACTTTGACTTGGCTGATACAGACAAAGGCGGTAGAAGCAAACCTTTCCCGGGGGCTGCTGAAAACCAGCGACACTGTCTGTCCTGATGTGTAGATTACTATCCCAGCGGTTATATCCATGACCCCCTCAAGCAGAACCTGATGGTCCTTTCCCATCTGATTCCCCGTCTCCCTAAACAGTATGGTTAGATTAAAGAAGACCTCCCAGGGAATGTGACACCAGGAAGGCCAGCCAGTGATAACAGTGACCCCAGTGGGGTGCTTTACCTGCAAAGGAGAGCTATTCTAAGTCACGGTTCCCAGCATAGCTGCCTAAGAGGGTCACCAAGGGGCTGGGCATGGGGTGCATGCCTGTCATCCCAGCACTGGGGGGGGCTAGGCCAGGGGGATCAGGAGTTTAAGGCCTGCCTAAACTACATAGTGAGGCTCTCTATAAAAACCAAACCAAACCAGAATAAGACAAAAAGTTAAGTATCTTCATCTCCAGGCTGCAGCTCAGCTAACTCAGAGTCTCTGGACTTGAAATCTAGATCTCCTTCATTTTAAAAATCCCATGAGGGTTCTAGAATGCTGCCAGGGTTGAGACCTGCTGCTCTGGAACCGAAAGAGTCAATGAATCGCTTAGAGTAGAGAAGTATTCGCACATGTGGGTGTGCACTGGAGTCAGGGGAAAGGGCACTTTTAAAATTAGCCCTTGGCCACACCTTCCAGACCATTTGAAGCAGGGACTTCCAGTCCTAGGTGTCTCTCATTCAGCCCTGGTCTAAGCCAGCTGTTACTGCTGACAGCAAGCCAACCGTACAGATGTTTCCTTTCCAATGGTCTAGCCGTGAATCACGACTCCCGTTTCATGGGTCAGGGCACGGATGCTCAGAGCAGGTAGTGCCTGGCCCACAGGAGTGCAGAAAGAGGGCCCTGGAACAGGTCTGCCTAACCTTGAGACCTGTCCCAGTTGCCTACCCCCCACCCACTGCATTGTGGGCCCAGTGGAAAGTTTTCTCTGCTCTTCCTGAAACAGCCAAAGGCCAGGGGAAGGCAGCCGAGGCTATGGCTCTCCTTCTGGCTGCCCCCAAAGCCTGAGCAGAGGGCCCTTCCTGAGAGAAGAAAGGCCACAAGATGCCTGGTGTTCGGCTCCATCCTGGCTATCCACGCTTGGAGTGCCTCCCTTGGGAGGGAGGAGGATCAGGTCTGCCCCACTCTCCGTTCTCAACCTTATCCCGGCGAAAGTAAGAGCCCAAAGCAAACACTCGCTTGCTTTTTGAGAGCTTGAGGAATTTTTCGGTCACGTGACAGAAAGATGGCTCCATTCCCTTCGTAAGACCAAGGAAATGCTACATCACAGTGACCTGAGACCTCTGGCTCCTCTTACGTCGTCGTTTGTACCTCCCCAGGTCATGACATGGTCAGTGCAGCTTGAAGCTGGGAACTGGAGCTGTGTGTGTGTGTGTGTGTGTGTGTGTGTGTGTGTGTGTGTGTGTGTGTGTGTCTGTCTGTCTGTCTGGGTGTCAGACCTAACCCTATATCACCACCAGCATGCATACAACTGAAAATCCTCCAGTTTCACTTTCTCCATCAATCAAGTCACTCAAGATTGTGGGGGACAGTCACAGGAACTCTGAAATGCCAGGCCTGCCAGCAAGTACCGGAAGGAGAGGAATCTGCTGCCCTGGTGCTGACCCAAAGCTTTGTTAAGTGTTTGCTGGCACCCACTCAGGGACCTTATGTCCCCAAGACCCAGAGTGGCTCCAAGTGGCATCTGTGTTAGAAGTCACATTGAATATGCTCACTCTGCCCTTCTTCTGCTTCCATCAGACCCTTGTGTGTGGACAGCTCAGCGCTAACACTTGGAGCCTGGACAGCTGAGACCGTAGAGTTAGTGGGTGGTGTAATGTAAATTTGGCCCCAAGCCTGGCTCCTATGGACCTCCTCTCCCCCAGGGCTCCCTCTGCACCTGCTGTCTCTGCCTTTGTTCCCTGTTATTTACCAGCCGGCACAGGGCACATGTTCAAACAGTGTTGAGTGAAGGGCGAAGGTGGAGAGATGAATGAGTTTGCTTTTGATGGCGTCTCTCAAGTGCTTGTCATAGGAGGCTGTTTCGCTGTTGGCTGTCTGCTTGCTTGCTCAGCTTCACTTTATTTGCATCAGCCAGTTTATTTAGAAGACCGTCCCTTTAAAGATTCTTCTGGCAATAGAATACTCTAGATGCAGTGCCATTTTCTGAGGTCGGGACAAACACCTGGTTTCTCACAACTGTAACTCTTACCCCAGATCCACTGAGAAAGTATCCGCTCTGGATCCAGCGGGCCCCTTATTAAGCTGCTAATCAGAATAAGAAACCTTTCTGAGTTACCCAAGCAGTGGGTACTTGAGGGGAGGTGGAGGAACATAGGGCAATGTGGAAGATGAGAGGGAGGACCTCAGAGGGGAAGGAGGGGACACGAGCAATCACCAGGGATTTAGATCTGTCCCAGCTCAGGGCCTGGATTGAGATGAAGAAGCATGGGTTATCTTCAGAGCACCCAGGGAAGCTGGCTCAGGGCTGCTTGGATCTGTGGCATGGACACCATTTCATGGTCTCTGTCTCAAGGACCCTGAGCGGGGTCATGTCTCCTGTAACTATCTGGGAAGCGTTGTGGGCAGCTGGCTTTGATGTCTGGCTTTGTCATTCTGTCGTGAGTCACTTGACCTCTCCTTTGGCCCCAGTTTCCAAATTTTACAACTCCCTGTTCACACTGTGATGATGACTAACCCTGGTAAGTGGCCTTTACCCTAACCCCATCCCAGTCAGGATTCTTACCAACCCCACCTGTTTATGGACATTGTGACTTTAGCTGGTAGTTTGGACTTGGGTTCTAGCTGAGGCCTTGCAGGGACAAGGCTGTGTCATCCTAACCAAGTCAGTACTTGCCAGGGTCTTGGTGTTCACCTTTGTATACCAGCAATAACTTTAACATCCCTTCCTAGTAAAATATCAGGGTCTCTTAGTAATAGGGAATCCCAGTCCCTGCCCTATCTCGGTCACTGCGTGTCAGCCAGGCAGAGCCACCGGCCAGTGACATGCCTTTCTGTCTTGGTAGAATAACCCGGTGATTGTCTGGGTAGCTGGCTGTGAGGGTCACTCCTCCACTGGCCACTCCTTCATTGTGTGGGTCCCGTGTCCCCACAGCGGCCAGTTTGCCATCGTGAAGAAGTGCCGGGAGAAGAGCACAGGTCTGGAGTATGCAGCCAAGTTCATCAAGAAGAGGCAGAGCCGGGCCAGCCGTCGGGGCGTGTGCCGGGAGGAGATCGAGCGGGAGGTGAGCATCCTGCGGCAGGTGCTGCACCCCAACATCATCACGCTGCACGACGTCTATGAGAACCGCACCGACGTGGTGCTCATCCTCGAGCTGTGAGTGGGGCCCCAGGACCCACGATGGGGGGGTGGGACGTAGGGTGGGCAGCAGAGATAGGTCAGGGTGGTGGAAGCCCTGGCTACAGGCCCCCCCAGGGCCACCAAAGCTCAGCCCAGAGAAGATGCAGTGAGTGGTAGGCAGTTTCCCTCTGCCTCGGTTATCCCATCCTCCTCCTAAAATGGGGCCAAAGGAGGGGTGAGCCTGCCAAGTGGCAAGGATAGCGAGGGATGGCTTAACTCTTACTTTTATTGCATCGTGGAGATCAGAGAAACCAGTGATTCTGGCTTATTTCTTGGCCAGAGGAGCATTTATGAGGGTGAGAAGGAGCAGAGGGTAGCGTGGGTAGCAGATGCTGTCAGAGAGGGGTCTGTCTTAAAGAGAGGATGATGAACATCCTTTCAGCTCTTCCAGAACCCTTCTCCAGCCCTTCCCTGGGGAGAACCCACTACACTGGCACTGTGTTCCACACTTGCGTTTTCACAGTGGTAGCTGTTTGTACCCAGTAGACCGCCTCTCTGGTCTTAGCTACTGTTTAAAGAGCCCAGCTCTGCCCCTGCATTTGCAAGGTGCCTAGCATTTATCGTCTGACTCAGTCCTGGCCTTAGGGAGTCTTACTAACTCAGAAAGGTGATTTTATATTCATTCCATTTACCTTATTTCAACCTCATAGTGATACGACCACAGAGACTCTTAGGATACCCATTTTATAGATTAGAACACCAAGAAGTCAACATCCTATCGCTGGGAAGCGGCAAGGCTGAGACTGCCATCTAAGCGGCTTGTGCAGATAGCCATGCATGCACACGAAGTGGTACAGCCCTGTGATGGCCTTGCTGGGAAGGACTTCACCGTGGTTGGTGGAATTTACTTAGGTGACACTAAGACTCCAGCTTGGTTGGCCACTCTGATGTCCTCCTGAATGAGTCCCCATGGAATGAGGGCAGTAGAGTCACAAGTGACAATAGCCTTATCCAGCCAATCAGCAAGACCCCATGATAAGAGTATTCTGAGCCTCATGAGCATGTAGTGCACATCTGTCCATCAGCAGAGGAGTGGGGTGTCTGCCCCAGAAATTCTTGATTTTGTGACTGTGGGCAAGTCACCTGTGAACCAGGAAGTCTCCTTAACCTGCCTCCGGATTGAGTGGACCACCTGACATTTGAGATTGCTCTAATCTGAGACTTAGCTGCACATGGCAAGATAGAAATTTATCTAGCAGAAGGGAATTTGCATCCTCTCACATTTGATTCTTGATTTATCAACCTCCCTGTTAACTGCATGGAGTTGCCCATGCCCTCCCCTTCTCTAGGGTCCAGTGTCCTCTGTGTTTCGCCCATGGACCCCTTGGCAAAATGAAGTAGTCATTGTCTGTACCTCCCTGACCCAGGCAGGAGCCTGATGAAGACCACCTTCTCCTTCCCCAGGGATGGTCAGTCACATGGACACTCCACATGGTGTGCACCAAGGCGAAAGGTCACTGACTGGTTAGCATCCTGATTCCCAGCAGAGAGTGAGAAGCCCATCTTCCTGGGAAGGCCAGAGTCACTTCTTCAAATGGCTATTTATTATCACCCCCTTTCATCCCAAACCCCACAGGAACTGCAAGAAATGGATCTGTAATTCTCCTATCCAAACACAGCTACTTTGTTTCTCTGTGGTTCCTCTCAATCTTTATCACTTTGTATATAATTTTACAATTTCCTCTTCTTTTTCTCTCCAACTAACCAAATTTCATATATAGCCCTTTTTTCCATTTTAATAACTGTATCACGTTTCATTAAATTGCACAGCAGTGTTTCTCTATTGCTGGACATTTGCTTATAATTTTACAGCTGTTACCTATTCCAAATTTTACTGGCAAAAATCTTTCTTCCCAATGTTTTCTCCTTTTCTTTTGAATTAGTTATTTCAGCTGACTCCCCAGGAGTGGAGGGTTAAGTTAAAGGTGGGCAGGCACAGGCTCTTGGTGACTTCACTTCCAAAGGATGCAGGGACTGGGCAGTGTTTCTGTTTGCCTTCAGCCTTGGTGGCCATGGGTCATTTGTTTAAAAAAAAAAAAAAACAACAAACACCTCTTTCTTTATTCATCTTTATAGCTATAAATCAGTATCTTATGATTTCAACTGGTGTTTCTTTAACTGCTGGGAAAAATGCTCTTCCCCTGTTTGTGGAACCCCAGCATTTGGGGTATAAGATGCTTCTGCCTTGTCTCCAGTTCTCCCAACCAGGGCTCACGATCAGCCAGTATTTATATGTGCGAGCGGTCATCTTGTGAGTGCAGGTGCACCATGGGTAATATCAGTTCCCACACAGGTGCTCCCGGAATTGCCATGCTTGTTGAGTTCTAGCTGCCCACAGTTTCTGTCTCCTCCTCCACTTCCAGGTTGCCTCGTTGTGGTCGGGATGTCTAGCTGAGGAACACTAAGGGTTTATGAATTAGAAAGGAGCCAAGTTTTCAAAGACCGTGCTCAGACCACGCTTGCTGGGATCCAAGGAGGATTTTCTAAAGGAGGAGGATTTCTGGGGAGGGGAGGACTTCCCAGGGGAAAGGAGGACATCCTGGGGGAGGACTTCCTAGAAGAGTAATTCTGAAGGTTTTTGCTTGGACTTGGTGACTCTTGTTGGACTGATCAGAAGTTTTTGGCATTTGAGTCCTCACTGGGCAGTAGGCTTGTCCTGGGGTTGGTCATAGGAGTTATTGTCCTCTTGCTCATTTTCAGAACTTACTTGTTCATTCGTCAGTGTTTTTCTCACACAGCATCTCACTAATGTAGTTCAGGCTGGTCTAGACCTCATGACACTCCTGGCTCAGCCTATGAAGTGCTGTGTTGACAGATGTGTGAATTTATAGATGTGTGTCACCACACGTGTATAATGTGTGTGCACATGTATGTGTTCAGTATATGTACACATGCGTGCATGTGCCTCTGTGTGTGGAGGCCAGAGGAGAACATCCAGTGTCCTACAACACCGTTCTCTGCCTTATTTCCTCGAAACAGGTTCTCTCCCTGAAACTGGAGTTGGGCTGGCAGCCTGCAGACCCCACTGAAACTCCTGTTCCTGCTCTGCACAGTACTAGGGTTACAAGTGTGCATGACTACACCCAGATTTTTACTTGGGTCCTGAGGATTTGAACTCAGGTCCTCATGTTTCCAGAACCATCACTCTTGCAGTTTGAATGGTCACTGTTCCCAGTGCTCTCTTCAGCAGCTGTTGTCTGGTCTGGTGCTTCCTTTAATGTCCGCTAAAGGGGCTGGCACTAGAAGACATGCCCAGCCCTGACTCCTGTTCCCTTCAGCTGTCTTTATCCCATCTGTCATGGCAGTTGGAGGGAGGATTAGGAAGGATTTTGTTGTCTGTCTAAGTTGACTTCTGTGTGGCACTAAGACTACATTCAGTGTCTCAGTAGCGGAACTCATGTCATATCTGCAGAATGCTCCTTTGCAGCTCTAAATGCCCTGGGTCCTCCTGGGCTCCAGGATGGCAGCGAGTGATGCCCTGGCAAGTGCTCCTAGGTGTTGCTGATGCTTCCTTGTGTCCTAGGCCCCGCAACTGTGGCAACATTGTTTCTCCTTGTGCAGGTCATTTATACACTGTTGCTGGATCCTAAGGGCTCCCTTGGGGGAGGGGGGTGAGAAGGCACAGCATCAACAGCACAGACACTGGGAGTCAGTTGAAGGCAAACAACAAACTTGTTTATTCAATAACGGGGAAGGCTTATATACCCTCCTCCCAGCACCCAGTCTGTGTCCCAATCTGATGGCATTGTGTGGTCATCCCCCATTGGCTGGGCATGATCAAGAACTCTGACAGCGCCTGTTGCTAGGTCCTCAGGCCAACTTCAGGTTGGCTCATAAGGAAGTATATTATGTACATGCCTTGGCAACTGGTCTGAGCCAATTTCCTCAACCCTATGAGCCTGTCCTACTACAATACATGTTATCAGAAGGACTCTGGAAAATATTTCACCAGGTGTACCAACCTGCAAGGGAGAAGGGGTTGACCCTGAGAACACTATTACAGAAGAGAGCAGCCAGACTCTTAGCCTTTGCTTTACATATTAAAGCTGGAGATATTTGATTTGGGGTGTGAGCTGAAAGAAACTTGGAAGGGGCCAGGTGGTGGTGGCATGAGCCTTTAATGAGCCTTTAATCTCAGCACTGGGGAGGCAGAAACAGGCAGAACTCTGGGAGTTTGAGGCCAGTACCTGTAGAAGAAGAGGAGGAGGAGGAAGAGGAAGAGGAGGAAGCAGCTTAGGAGGAGATGGGAAATGACCCAGGACAGAGGTCTTAGACCTGAGAGACTTTTGGGTAAAAACTATGCTGCCAGGTTTGTAGTGACTTTGATGTGTCCTCACTTCCAGAGTAACTTGGGCTTCGTGATGTGGAGAGAGCAAGGCGAAAGGGTCCCATGGTGATCTGGCTTTAAGTCCTGGTTTTGTCACTCACCAGCTGTGTGACCCAGGGCGAGTCACTTGCTCTCTCTGACCCCCGTTTCCTCCTGTGACCAATGGGGACAGAGAAGTAATCTGCATTCCTGCAGGTAGATGTGAGGGTGGAGTGAGAGAATATTCAGGAAGGCGTGTTGTAGGAATGGTGAACTCTAAATAAACTTTTTTGAGACCTCCTCCAGCACTGTACCCCTGCAGTGACATTGTACCTAGTTTTCACTTCAAGGACTTATCAAGGGCCTCCCGGCACTGGTCCAGCCTTGAGTCAGGAGTCCTCCCAGCCTGAGGTGTCCAGGAGACATCCTTTCTCATTCTTGTTTCAAGAAGAAAAGCTGACGTCCTGGAACTTGCACACTGACCATCCCAAGGTTAAGGCTGTGGAAGGACTGGGCCTCCACCCTAGCCTAGGGAAGAGACTCAAAGCGACCCTTGCAGCAACTGTGAGCTTCCAGTGCCTGTCCCAAGTCAGAGTGGGGACAGGATGCTGGATGATATCACCGTGAGACACAGAAAATGCTGTGTGTGCTCGACTCCTCCCCAGCACCC